CCATGGTAACTCGGTAAACATTAACAAGGTCCACTTGCAGATATTCTCCTGCCACATTGTTTTTAACTTCCCAGCAACCKWTACCACCAGAATTRTACGGCGTTTTGTTTTGCGTCCTTAGTCGTCCTCGCCATGGCTCGTGGCCGACATYCCAGAAAGAGGAGGCAGAGATCCTGTTGTTTGGAATGGTTCCTGATTCAAAACCAAGAGGAGTATTGCAGGCTACAAAGGACACAATGAAAACGKTGTTCAAGAGGAACGTTAGTAAAATCAGTCATGTCGGATTGCAAGGGAATACAATGAAATTCAGAAAAAGAATCTCAGACAATTATTGCGAAATTGTTGTGTTTGACGGCCGTTTTATGTCATACAATTGTGTTTTGAACATGRCYCCCACGCCCTGTGTCCACTTCCGGAMGCAACTGTCACGGGCATTGCCGTTTTTTTAGGATTTGTCGATGTTTTTTTTTTGAGGATAGGCGGAATTCAAGGCACTCAATTCCCGAGATGAATAAAAAGAACTGAAGGAGCTATTGTTCTAGCATTTTTCGATATTTAACTCTATCATATTAGCACAATAGGCCTTTGTACTTTATAGCTATTAATATTCTAGTTTGTCTGAACTTTGCCAGTCCTCAGTAATGATGCTGTAGAACAGCGAAGGCTTGACTATAAATAAAGATGTATTTACCACCTTAACCCTATTCAGACTGGGCTTTTTCTTTCAATCTGTGACTGGGGGGGGGGGGGGGGGTTGCTCATTCGGCCCCCCCTCAATATCTTCGGAACCAATACCTCTATGAGCATGAAATTTTCACAGAATGGTCGCCCACGTAAAACGAACCACCACACCCAGTCTTGACCCGTGGGAACCAAATGTGACGTCAHARTGACGTCATTTTYAYMATTTYAACGAKTTATAATTCATTTTAATAAATTGCCTACAATTCCATAGAGAATGCTGCAATATCATCTGTTTATTATTGAAATGACTTGAAAATAATATTTTKGTATTTTTTTAATTGATCCCTGTTCTATATGACGTCACAATGACGTCATAGATATCAGGTAAYTTTTATAAATTATATATCTATATCTAGATARCCAGTTAAATATCATATTTATGCGTTACTGCTCTCCTATGATGTTGTGGTTCGTTTTGTATCCATGGTAACAGTTGTGACGTCATAATTGTAATGACGTCATTTCCTATATTGTCTTTGTCGTCTATGAATAATTTGACTCCAAATCTCACTTTTTTTTGTCTACATCGTTTTTGTATGGTAAAATTTACAATTTGAGAAGTTTTTGAAGTTAAAAAATTTGGAACAAGGAATTTTGAGAAGAATCCGCCATCTTAGGATTAAAAACTAAGCATTGAGGCAAACAGCTCAAAATGTCTTAAATACTTCTCAAACTAACATTTAATGAATAAAAAAGTGAGTTTCGAAGTGTTAYTGATGATTTTAATGAAATTTTCTCCCATGTGAAAAAATGACCGAAATCTACCCACCCCTCCCCCCAAAGTTTTTGTTGTCGAAAAAGTATTATGGTATTGTAGAGTCAGCAATGGGAGCAAGCTCAAATAGGTAAAAGATGCATAATAAAACAAGAAATAAGCTTTAAAAATGAAAAATTAAGCATATTTTACATTTTTGAAAACSTATGTGTCAAAAACTGGTTGCCATGGCAACATGGATGACGCGTTATCAACAAAAAAAATTACATCAAAATCTGCCCAGTCTGAATAGGGTTAACAGCTAGCAGTATTCGGCCGCATTTGCTATCACAAGTTTCCCATTTAGAAATAGACATGTCTACTTACCTTGGCAGATATAATCGTCTTTAGAGCTGTCAATCGAACAAATATGCCCAGTACTGCAGTATGCATCACTGCAATTATCATTCTTTATYTTARTGTAAACCCCTTCCATGTCATGCACGAGGTGCAGAGGTCTTGAAAGATGCGTTGCCTTGTTGAGATGACAWTTCTTCTCTTTCTTGTAGTAGTTGATACTAAAACATCTCAAATTCTCTCTGCATTTCCTCTCGCAATGCGCTTGACTGGTGACAAGTAGTGACGCTAGGAGGTTACCTTGAAGGATAAAACTTTCCTGGACGTACTGATTACTGCATGAGGCCTGGACATTGGTCAGGACCAGGCCAAGGAAAATCCAACCAACAAGAATGTGAGACGTCTTTCTCATATTAGCRAGCCTTTAAATAAAGTCAATATTACCAACCATATCCTTAAAATGAAGGCTGAATTCTTTGCCAATTTATACACTAAGTTTTCAAAGATTTTGGATTGCAGGATGTGTGGTTTAAGGGAAAGAAGCCAGTTGGWAGGTATTGACATAGAGCATTATAAACCAAACAAAATTAACGCAATTTGATCCTGTGATGTCTGAAAGCCGCTTTTGAACAACATGTGTTATTCTCTGCAAGGTGAAGGGGAAGCTGATTGAATGCATTTTGAGTTATTGCATCATTTAACGATTTCSAAACTTATAGGACAGTTAAACAGTAGAACATTTGCGCCTGTCAGATTAATATCTTACCATCAGCTTTGATACCAGTCTTGGAGATATGGTTCGTTTTCGCTAAACGACGTTGTTTGCGTGCCGTGATAGTCTTTACTGTTTCACAATCATATACGGAAAAGCCGAGAAGAATAAAGTGAATAACTTGAACTGCATTATTTAGTTCAATTGTGTAACGTTTTTCTAACACATTCTCAGTTCTCACCAGTTGGTGGTTCTCCACAAGTCATTTAAACAACATATGCTGTAATTGCAAGAGCCGAATGTTTTGAATATAACCTGATTCAGTCTAGAAACCAGCGATTTTTTTCCTCGACTTTGAAAACTCCCTACATTATTGGGAAATCTTGGAAAGAGATCACACAATCATATGAAGTACCCATCTTTGTAATACCTTCTCTCTCTCGATTAAAGAGTTGCTATTCTCAATAATGAAAAATTGGTTAAACTATTAAATAGCAATTTAAAAAAAGTRTTAAGAATAAAGAATARCGAAAATATCCGACGTTCCGGGAGCCACACTAGCTTTAATTGAATAAATGCAAATTTATAAGTGAAAATAAAGCAGTGGCATGGTGTCAAACAAACTATTTTAGCACGAATCGAATCTGATTGAAAGGTTAGGAAACTTAGTATCAGTTTTATCTTTAGGTAGGCTGAGTTTAAGAGATTTGTATTGTGTTGATTGCTTATGCAATTAACTGTCAATCTATTCATCTTATCTAATCGAATACAGATGTGTTCCTATGTTAAATAACTTGACTTTTCTCAGTGTTTCAAACACCGCCTTTATCCGCGACAAGTATTATCGAAAGGAACGGTATGGTGCCACGTATTGTATCTATCTATTACSATGAAAAAGTTTAGCAAATGAATATGGTATTATTTCTTAACAATGAGAAGTATGCTTCTGCATGAAATGTTTGTCTTTATGGAGTAAGTCAATTGAAAATAAGAAAATAAAAAAGTAAAATACTCTGAAAACACAGCTTGAATTATTAATGACGACAGGGATAAAACAAAATGATAAAAGGATAAAACAAAA